GCCCACCCCTTCCCCTCTTCCCTCCCCCCTCCCCCAGAACTTTCCCTCTCGCATGCTTTTCCCCTGCACCACGGATCGCCTCTCGGATGCCGCTTGCCTGGAAGCTGCGTTAGGAGAGAGCGGCGGCGGCGGCGGTGGCGGCGGCGGCAGCTCGGGAGTGCTATGACCGGCAAACTCGCCGAGAAGCTGCCGGTGACCATGAGCAGTTTGCTAAACCAACTGCCTGACAATCTGTACCCCGAGGAGATCCCTAGCGCGCTCAACCTCTTCTCTGGCAGCAGCGACTCGGTAGCCCATTACAATCAGATGGCTACAGGTAAGGGCGGCGGGGAGGCGGCGAGGCAGCGAGGAAGGAAAGGGAGAGAGGAAGAGGCGGAGGGAACGAGCTAGCGATGGATGGATGGATGGATGGATGGAGGGATGGATGGATGGATGGATGGATGGATGGAGGGATGGATGGATGGACGGACGGATGGAGAGATGGGGGCCGCGCTGGGAATTTTCCGGGGGGCGAGCTGCTTTTCCCACCCACTCCTCCCGCCCTCCCCGATCGGGAAGGCTCTGTTTGGCGACGCCACGGTAGAGGCTTCGGTCCTCCCGGGTGGGGGCAGCCGCCGACCGGAGGGAGGTAGGTGCGAGCGGCTCTGGGGTTCTCCACTTAGGGGGCTCGATCGCCGGGCTGTGCGCAAGGCGTAGTGCTGTCGCCCCCTTTCCCGGGAGGAGCCCAGCGTCCCTTTCACCCGCGCTCTCCCCCCTTGCTCCCTCAGCCTCCCACCCGGGATGGAGCCATGTGCGTCGTGGAGTCCCCGCGGTGGGAGAGGTACTGCGACGCTGCCTTTCCGGGGCGTTCAGCAAAGCCACAGGGGTGTGGGGGTGGCGGGGAGAGGGAGGGGGCCCGCCCGCGCGGGAGCTGCCTCGGGGGGAGCGATCCCCGGGCCAAGGAGCTTGGGAAGAGCGGCCACTCCCGCCATGGAGACACGGGCTGATTTTCCGCCGCCCTCCCTCGTTAGCTGAGGCTAGGCTTTCCCCCTCCAGCAAGAGCCGAAAGCTCCTTCAGGCCCGGAGGAGCCTGGGGCCCGGGGAGGCGGCGGGAGAGCTCCCTTTTCCGGCAGCACTCCTCTATGCGCCGAGGACAGAGCGTCGGAGCACTCCGGGTCAGCGACCCGGGCGCAGTGCGCATGAGGGGCTTCGTCGGGGCAGGAAAGGTGCGGCGTCCCGGGGCGGACAAGGCTAGAGGAAGAGGCCGAGTTGTGTGCGCTAGAGAGCGAGAGCCCGGGACGCTCCGGGTCTGAAACTACCTGTAGCTGCAGCTACCTGCCCGCCCCATCTCGGGAACAACAATGCTTCTCGCGCGCGCGCCTGCGTGTGTGTGGTACGTGAGTGTGTGCACGGCGTGTGCGATGTGTGTGCAGCAGCCACTCCACACCCCGATCCGTAGTATTTTGCTGTATCCAGGTTGCGCCCGAGAGCGCGGCACCGCCCTCTTTGCGCCGGGCACAGCCTTCCTCCTACCCCATGCGCTGCGCACTCCACCCGGCCGCACCCTCCACACCTGGGCAAGGACCTGGGCGTCTGGGCCCAGGAGCCGGCTCGGCTTCACTCACCCCTCCCCTCTCTCCCCCGCTCTCCGCAGAGAATGTGATGGACATCGGTCTGACCAACGAGAAGCCCAATCCGGAACTCTCTTATTCGGGCTCCTTCCAGCCAGCCCCCGGCAACAAGACCGTGACCTACTTGGGAAAGTTCGCCTTCGACTCCCCTTCCAACTGGTGCCAGGACAACATCATTAGCCTCATGAGCGCCGGCATCTTGGGGGTGCCCCCCGCCTCAGGGGCACTCAGCACGCAGACCTCCACGGCTAGCATGGTGCAGCCGCCACAGGGCGATGTGGAGGCCATGTATCCGGCGCTGCCCCCCTATTCTAACTGCAGTGATCTCTACTCGGAGCCTGTGTCTTTCCACGACCCCCAAGGCAACCCTGGGCTCGCCTATTCCCCCCAGGATTACCAATCGGCCAAGCCGGCCCTGGACAGCAATCTCTTCCCCATGATTCCTGACTATAATCTATATCATCACCCCAACGACATGGGCTCCATTCCGGAGCACAAGCCCTTCCAGGGCATGGACCCCATCCGGGTCAACCCGCCTCCTATTACCCCCCTGGAGACCATCAAGGCATTCAAAGACAAGCAGATCCACCCGGGCTTCGGAAGCCTGCCCCAGCCACCGCTCACGCTCAAGCCTATCCGGCCCCGCAAGTACCCCAACCGACCCAGCAAGACCCCGCTCCACGAGCGGCCCCACGCGTGCCCGGCGGAGGGCTGCGACCGCCGTTTCAGCCGCTCGGACGAGCTGACCCGGCACCTGCGCATCCACACGGGCCACAAGCCCTTCCAGTGTCGGATCTGCATGCGGAGCTTCAGCCGCAGCGACCACCTTACCACGCATATCCGCACTCATACGGGCGAGAAGCCCTTTGCCTGCGAGTTCTGCGGCCGCAAGTTTGCGCGCAGCGACGAGCGCAAGCGCCACGCCAAGATCCATCTCAAGCAAAAGGAGAAGAAGGCGGAGAAGGGGGGTGCACCCTCTGCTTCCTCGGCGCCCCCCGTGTCCCTGGCCCCTGTGGTCACCACCTGCGCCTGAGGCTCGGGCCCCAACACTTTTCCCCTCCAGTGTTTCTCGGCTGCTCGCCTGAAAGCAGCGGGAAAGCTAGCCACGGAGGCGCAGGGGCCGCGCCCTGGCCTCTCCATGGACGTGAGGTCCCTTGTTCCCCTTCGATGTCCCCCGTTTCCACCTTTTCACACCGGCCAACGGTTGGAGGCCAGGGCAGGAGACGCCTTCCCCTCGCTGCCCCCCTTAGCCAAGGCGTGGGGGCGGAAAGGTGGCGTCTAGCCCGCTTTGTTCAGTTCGGATCGCCTTGATCCAGGGGCCGCCGGGCCGCGCCAAGGACCTGCGGGGGACTGAAGGCGGGGCCTGCCCAAACCTCGCCCGACCCAAGCACCTCACTGTTCCTCCCACGTCTCCCTCGGTTCCCCCTCGAAGACCCGAGAGGGGGAGGGGGTAAGGAGCGCACCAAAGCGCAGAGCTTGCTGCCCGCCGCACGCACGCGCGTCTGCGTGCGGGGATGCGCGCGAGTGTGCGTGCTCGCGTGAGTGTATGTGTGCGTGTGTGTGTGCGCGCGCGCGTGTGTGGGAGACTCTTGAGCTGAACCCGGCTGTGTCCACCCCAACTCTTCCCCACATCGCGTCCCCAGGCGGCTGGGGAATGTCCCAGGCTGGGGGCCTGCACGTGGCCGGACGAGACGGTCTTCCATCTGCTCAGAAATAATATTTCTTACAGAAATGCCTCGGATGCCGCCGCCGCGGTACTGTTACCGCCGCTTAGGGTTTAGCCCCTCAGAACCCTTCCTTTTCTGAGCGCTTCCCTCTTAGGCCTCAGGGCAGTTTGGTCATCGGGGAGAAGGAGCAGCTATCACTGAACCTGCCTTTTAAAACGTGTGTTTCCTCAGCCCCACTTTTTTAATCCATGTTCCTGAGTTTGCCCTCTGCCCTTTTCCCGTCTTCTCCCTTCTCTCTAAGCCTTCTCCCGTCTCTTTCAAAGTCTTTTTCCAGAAAGGCAGGCCTCAACCAGCCACCCCATTTCACCATGTTTTTGTTTTTTCTCACTCACATACCCATTTCTCCTTCCGGCCATTGATGGGAAGGTAGGCTCTTTTTTTGCCCTTTGTCATCACCAACACAACAGAGTTTAAATCTACGTATATGGTGTGTGTGTGTATGTATGTATATGTGTGTATGCTATATATATACATATATATAGCATACACACTATATGTATTCCTAGGAAAATGAAATCTCTAGGGTACTTGGCTATCCGGTGCAGTGCACCGGAATAAAGAGAATTTGTAGGCATATACGGCTTTAAATGATTTATTTTTTATGAAAAATGTAACTGATGAGATTATACCTACATATGTGTGTGAGTATGTATATATACACATACACATATACACATACACACGTATCTCTGTCCAAATTTTCCTCAATGATATGGGGATTTTTGCATTACTCCATGTTGATGAATGAAGCATATCTTTTCCATACCCCAATCTCACCTTCTCCCTGCCCTACCTCACCTCTTCTCAGGCACCCCCTCTTCCCCAGCCCTCTCCACACAGGGGTGATTCTTTTGAAGTGGAGGAGTGGGGAAGGTTGCTCTCTGACACAGCTTCCAGCACAGTCTTGACTGAATGTACTGTTCCCTATTAGCGGTATTTCTCCTGTGGTCAGTAAGCTGCCCAGAGAGAAGGAACAAAGGTCTGGAGTTTACAGAATGTCTGTTTTTAAAGTCACTTTATGCTTTTCCCACTTTTTTTTTTTTAAGAAAAAAGCACCATTTTTTGTTTTTTTGGTGGTGGATAAATAATACTAAAAGGAGTCTAGTGAAAGGGAAAAAGAATCAAAGAGCAGGGGATTGAGGGTTTCCAGGTACTTGGACTTTGTGTAGAGGAAGAGAGAAGAGGATGAAGTTTGCCAGGAGGGCCCATATTTTTTCAGCTGAAGGGTAAAATCTTTCTTTGCAGAGACAGTATTTTGCTGAATACTTTTTATAATGTGATAATTACTGAAAACAAAAATTTTGGTCACTTCGAAGCTGGAAGGAGGAACCAGATATCCTTTAATATTTTTCCTTGCTCCTTCTGGTTTATGCATGTCACTGCATGATAACTCTGAGTTTTCCTTTGTTTTAACAAAACTGTTCTCAAACATTTAAGCTAAACTAAGAGAAAAATAACTTTGTTGCCAAAAGGTTGTGCTATCCAGATTTTTTATATGTCTGCATGTTTTAAAAAACAACAAAAGAAAATGCACTCTAACTTATGTGAACTGAGAGAAAAAAATCAGGTTTTAAACAGGAAAACCTATGGGGAATGATATTTTTTGAAAGACTTTTGTATAAAGTTGAGTACTTAGAAAAAGACAAACCAGATGTAATATATTTTGTGGATGTTTTTATTTCTTGGATTTATAGTACCTTATACTAAGGTTAAAAAAATATGCTTGATATTGTGAAAAGGTGAAATTCTTCACCAACATTTCATTTGCTCCTTTGTCACATTGTTATGCCAATATAATATAGTTAATGAAAACAGCATTTTTAAAAACCGGAATATTGAAATGGTGTAATGTTGTACCATTTGCACTGTGAGCAAATGCTAATACAGTAAATATATTGTGTTTGCTGACAATCAGCCGGCCTATAAATCTCCTTATTTTATTTCTTGTTTTCATAGCATAAAGTTTTGGTTTGGCCTGTTTTTTTGTCTTGTTTTGTTTTTGACTGGTGGTTGGTTTGATAGGTTCTTATGCCTGGTCTTGCCGTTCTTGCTCTGAAAACTCTCAACATGGAAACGTGAAATTTGGTGTTATTGGAAGTTGGTTAGAATTTTTTTTGGATCCTGGTGTTTCAACTCCAATGTTGAGTGTTCACTGTGGTTCTAAGAGCATAGGATTCTCCTCCACCCTCTGGGAGCCTCAAACTGCCAGAGAGATTAGATGAACAGATTAGATAAGCTAATGGGACTCAGGGCTAGTGACTGGAACTTTCTGAACTCTTGTCTCCAGTTTCCAATGGCTATTTGAAGGTAGAAGGGAGGGGATCTCCTGGTTTATGAACTATTTATCTGATGGCCACAGGAAGCACCAGGACAGGACCCTGAAGGGTCTCTACAGCCACACTGAGTAGTGCTCTTGCTAAAGCTTTTAAAGCGTGAAAAACAGGTAGAGACTTGAGAGGGGTTCTTCAGGGTTGGCAAGATAACCAGCGAGATTGGAAGCTCTTTTGTTGTCAGATAATTGGGAAAAATCAGGTTTAAAAGTTCTACAACATCAGTCCCATTTGAACAGGATTCTCCAGGCCTTACTATTTGTAGCTGCCTGGGAAAGGTGGTCCTGGCTGAAAAACAAGCTCTTATGGACCACCTAAGGATCCAAGGCTTCCCCCCCTCCCAAAGCCCCAGTAGATAGTTGTATGTCACAGCTGCACAGCCTTCTAGTTGCTGTATGTGGGACGCGGCCTCAGCATGGCCGGAGAAGCGGCGCATAGTTGCGCGCCCGGGATCCGAACCCAGGCCGCCAGCATCAGAGCATGCGCACTTAACCGCTAAGCCACGGGGCCGGCCCAATCCAAGGCTTTTAAAAGAAAGAACATTTGGGATTTGGAGAACATACAGGGAATGTTTTATATAACATTAACCCCTCACATTTTATGACTTCTATCCCCCACTAAAGCAATGCTTCCCCTACCCTATGAGCTTTCTTTTCCAGAACCTTCCCCTTCCTTAACTGAGTTTATTTGCCAGCCCTAGAGCTTTCCCCATTTCTCTTGTACCCTCCACTTCCTTCCAGTGTTCACATCTCCATCCTGCTCCCCTCACCTTATTTCCTGTAGTCTTTAGAATCCTTTATCCCTGTGAGCCTGGTTCTAGAGCAGTCTTTGCACAGGCCAGTCCTCTCTCTCTCCCTTTCTTCCTGCCTGCCCTCTAAAAAAACTCCCTTGCAGGGCCCGCCCGGTGGCGCAAGTGGTTATGTGCACGTGCTCCGCTGCGGCAGCCCGGGGTTCGCTGGTTCGGATCCCGGGCACGCACCGACACACTGCTTGGCAAGCCATGCTGTGGCGGCGTCCCATATAAAGTGGAGGAAGATGGACATGGATGTTAGCCCAGGGCCAGTCTTCCTCAGCAAAAAAAGAGGAGGATTGGCAGATGTTAGCACAGGGCTGATCTTCCTCACACACACACAAAAAAAAAACCCTTGGGCTTCTCTGCCATGCATTTTACGTATTATCTGCCTCAGCAAAGTTTAAGGACTTGGTGTATGTAAATGTAGCACCACATTGTACATGGGGGACAGTGTCTCAGTGCCTGAGGTGCCAACCAGGCCAACCACACAGTGACAGAAAGGTAGTATAGCATCCCTGCTCAGAAACCGCTCTTGCCGCCGCAATGCATGCCCATCACAGTGAAAAATATGGGTGGTATTTCTGGTTGGCTCTAGTTACTACGAAGTTGAGGCCAGACCTGGGTGGAGGAGGTGGGCTGTGGCCTTAGAAAAGAATGTTTTTGAAGTAAGAAATCAATAAAGAGAATGCAGTATGGAATCTTAAATTGTCTCACCCACACAATTCTAGGTGACTAGCTGCCATCTTGAATTCCCTTCTCTTACCTCATGAAACTTTAAAAATTCCAATCTGCAACTTTATGTACAGCCACAAGGAGGTATCCTTCTTTTTTAACAAAGGGAATCCAAGATGGCACAAAAGTCCTAATGATCAAGTGTATAATCTATCTCTTTGCTAAACTAGATGTTTCCTTTCAGATTTCTGTGTATTTTTCAAGTGAATATTATCAGAGGAAGATAGCATCACTGGGTGTCTTCATAGTTAGCATCCAGCCCCACCTGCACCTTCTCCAATCAAACCAAGCCTTCAGAGTCACACTTTCATCAACAGTGTACTATGCTGCATGATTAATCAACTCACTTCCCATTGGTGCATATTACTCAACCCAACCTGGTTCAACCACTGAGTTACTTGGCAATATGGCAGCCTGCCTGACTGGCACCAGCCTGGTGTGGTGTAATCTCTGATTCACACTTTGTAGCTAGATAAGGCTGTCCCAGATAGCATCACACCAGCAACCCAACCTGCCTGGGTTTTGTAAATATGGGGAGAGGAGACACAACCCTGAAACTTAGGGATGAAGTGGGGAGATGGTAGAGGAAAGGCCTGGATGGAGTTATCATGAGAAGGAATCAATGGAGGCTTTGCAAAGAAGCAGCCCAGGAGCACAATCAGGCATAAAATGTGGAAGAGGTAGAGGCATAGCCCCTTCCAAGTAACCCCTAAGGTGTTTGGGGGATAAATGAAAAGATGCCTTACATACACACACACACACACACACACACACACACACACCCCTCAGAAGTGACATACTGAGGGTGATGATGACTCTTTGCAAAATTTTACTCAGTGAACTGGGGTTGGGTATAAATGAGGAAATACTTTGTGAGAACTGGGGCAAGGAGTGGCATATGGTTTTATATGGTGGTGAGTGTGTAAGTTTGTGGCTGTATATTATTCACAAGTATATAAAAAGAAATAGCAAGGTGTATTCTGGTGAATGAAGGCAATAGCCTATGGCCAGTCACTGCTGATCTCATTTTGCCAGTCCAGAATTTGACTGCCATGGATGAGGGGGTTGTGGGCTGCCTTTTCCTGGCCTTAATTGGCTCCCCTGTTGTCCTGGAATAATAAGCCTGGGGAAAGTAGGAGGCCTCTGTGTGTCCCAAAGACTAGAAATCATATTGGCAAAATCTTAACAACTAGGGGCAAAAGACTTTCTAAAAGGTGCCATGGAGTTTTTAAAATAGGTTGTAATCCTAAATCTACCCCAAGTGGTTCTTTTCAGAAAACCCACTCTTTGTGCAGAGAGAAATGAGGTCTCCAGAGGAAGAGGAAAGATCTGAGTGAATCTCGGAGCCCCTTGGTCACACTAATCCCTGGGTCAGCCCTGAGGACACAATCACACCACCATCAGTCATCCACAGAGGCCAAGAACATGTCTGGCCTCGACAGCTTCTTCCAGCCCCCCAGCTCTTGAAACGTCACCACTAAAAAGAGTAGTGAAGGTTCCCATCTACCCTATCTCTAGTATTTTCAATGATTAGTCATTTTCAGAGCCGTCTGCAAGAACAGATGTGGGCCAGGGTTGGGGGCTATAGTCTCTGAC